AGCAAAGCGATGTAGTACAGTCTACAGATGAAGCGGAAAATATTGCGTCGATCTGGATACAGCCAATTGTAGCACCGTCGTCCGTAAGTATATCCTATTCAGTAAACAAGCTTTCAATCGTCGTCAGATTTCGAGCTTTGCAAGCCCGTCGACGAAGTCACTTTGTTGGCTTGCTTGAAAACAGTTTCAATGGGCCTTGACACTTCGTACAAGCCTAAAGCGGCACGCAGCTGAAGAAGGACTGTCTCGAAGGCGCAACCGGGATTGGAATTCGAAAGGAATCGGAAATGAGCGAGTCGCCTTATGCTGGCCATACAATTTTCAGCGATGTTCTGTTATGATGCCATGTTGATGAGTTCACTGAGTAGGGTTCCTTGGAATGCTGTATCCCACAAGCGAAGCGATTTCTCTGTCGCCGAGGACTACATTTCGACTCTTAGTAGTTAGACCGAGTCTCCTGTTTGGGAGTCAGCGACAAACACAAGTCGACTGAAGTTCGAGGAACGTTACAAGAGTCCAAGACATCCTGGAACTGTCAAGTTTCTGGGCTCGACTTAGCGCTTTGTGGCTGTTGCTTCAGTCACGGAAGAAGCATCGTGTAGAGATGGTGTCCATCAGGCTCACAGTGTTGCGCAGCCTTGCGCTGCTTGCTATTACTGATTTCGATCGACACAACTCGAAGTTGCTGAAGTGGTCAGAGCGTAGCGCTGAGGTTAGCGACAAAGAAAATAATGTTATGGTGGTATTGAGACCTGGCAAATCGGGGCATGGTGATGTGATTCACAAAGTGGTACACGTCTGTGTCTTCTCCTGCAGTGCCACATGTCATCATCATCATCGTATGTATCATCATGGATAGGCTGCAGCAGTAGCAGTCCATCACATAGACAAACACCGCAAGCCGTCATAAAGATTCTGCATTTTTGGGCCTTCAATTGGCTGCGTCGTTGTCTCTCGGCATGCAGATTGCGGTTTATCTGTGACAAAACGAAGGCCCGTTGGGATGACATTGAAGCTCTGGTCAGAATCGCCCGTTGTCGGTGCTCTGACTGTTTGGTCAGCGCTTACTCCGCGCATCAAACAGCGGACGTCACCATACGCATGTTTGCAGGACGGTGCGATGCGATCTTGAACCTCGTGTGAGCCTGCGGAGATTCCAAAAAGCTTCCTCGGCAGCGACATCATGCATGGCGTAAGCCAGCAACAACGAAGAACAAACAACAAGGCTTGGTTGGTGACTTATAAGTTGTGAGGCTGAGTGTGTGCCAGATATACGGACCTATGCCTGCTGAAATGTTGCCGGTCTTAATTCCGAGTTTACATCTGTGTAAGCATATTCCGTCATGATTCGCCGACTGTGCGTGCGTTCTGACCACATGCTGGTGCATCGTTTGAGGCAGTTGTGGCACCGATAAGGTAGCAACGACACGACACGACAAAGCGGGGAGCCGCAACCGGGGTCATCTACTCCGTAAGATCAAGATGGGACGAAGTGGGGTTTTCTCCGTATGTACGGAGTACTCCGCAGGAGGTAGATGTACTGTGCGTCAGGCTTCAGCTTTGTGTCGAAAGTTCCAAAAATCAGCAACGTACCGCCAATGTATGAATTTCTGTACATTAACACATGCTCTGAGGAGTTTTCAGAAGGCTAAAAAGCAAGTCAGTAAATACCCAGACTTCGAGATTTTCGGACATACGGAGGAGGTGCATACCGACATGTGTACTTCATACGGTGGCTCCTTGAATACAATATGCAAGCTGCTCATAGGCTACAGCATCTAAGCTTACGTGATCGAACCCGCGATCGAGAGTCGTGACTCGTGACAACGAAAGTTCGGAACTCTCTGTCTAGGTGCCACCGTAGCCTCGGCACTCAGCGTTCAGGTACTTTACAGCCGGATCATAGCCGGTAGGTACATTCCCTACCACTTGGTGCTTCATCAGCACGTGTAACTTGCAAGACGTGCTTGACACATTCTGCTAGCGTCAACTGACGGAGTGCTTCCAAGCTATCAAATCCTGCAAAACAGGACCAGCTCAAACTATATCCAGCAAGTCCGGCCGCCGGCTCATGCAAATCGAGTCATCGAACTGTTGTCATTTATGATTTGAGCAATCGCCAACGCGAAAGGAGCACCACCGAACCCACCATCACAAGTTGGAGCAGCCTTCTTCTGCTTCGCCGCTCCTTAACTTCTTCTTTGTCTCCATTTCAACTCAAAACTCTCTTATTCTTCGCTAATTAATATTGACCGTCGCGCCCGTCGTTTCGCTTTGGGTCGTCCCACTGGTTTTCTCGTGTCAACGTCGACATTGTCATCAAAGACCAATCGCGCAATATTGCGCCGTCTGTCGCGTTGCCTGCAGCCAAAATGGCGTGGTCCAAGAGCACACGGATCAAGGTTATGATCGCCATCGACACGGCCTTCTTCCTGCTCGAGCTCATTTGCGGCTTCCTCGCGCATTCCCTGGCTTTGACAGCTGATGCGTTTCACATGGTATGCCAAAATCAAGGCCTCCCGCGCTTTTGATTCTGGCCCGATTAGTGCAGCTCGTGGAGTAGACTTGGCTAATTTTCATCACAGCTCAACGACATCATCTCGCTTGTAATCGGCTTATGGGCCGTTGTGGCAGCTCAGAAAGAGACGACGGACGAGTTTACATTTGGAGTGCGTATACAACGGATGGTGCTCTTTCTGATAACGATTTGCTTTCTGGCTAACCGTCGACTTTCTTCTCTATCTAGTGGGTTCGTGCTGAAATTCTTGGTGCTTTCTTCAACGCCGTCTTCTTGATCGCACTTTGCGTTTCCATCATTCTCGAAGCCCTGACCCGATTCGTCGAACCTCCAGAGATCAATCAGCCCAAGCTCATCCTCATTGTTGGGTGTGCAGGTTTGGCGTCTAATCTGCTTGGCTTCGTTGTTCTCGGCGGTCATGGACACTCTCATGGAGACGAAGAAGACGGGCATGGCCACAGTCATGCTCATCATGACCATGAACATGGACATGCGCACATCCACGGCCCTGGCCATGAACATGCTATCGATGAAGGCCGAGATTCTGGTGACTTGCGTAGCAGTGTGGCCGATGAGGACGGCGCCGTCGGCGATGTTCTTCCGGAAGCCATTGTCAGACGCGCAAGCGAGGGGCTCGAGGCCACAACCGGCCGCAACGACGCCAGTAGTCGAAATCGTGCTTCTGGCCAGTCAAGGGGACGCGCACCGCAGCGCACCAGTAAGAATGGGCACTCCCGTTTCCAAAGCATCGACGACATAAGCATTCACCCGGCTAGTTTCCGTCAGGATATCATCGCGGCTAGTTTGGCTGCATCCTCAGGTGCTGGTTTGGTCGCCGGAAGTGACACGAGTGAAGGCACTGCCACCGGCGATTTGGAGACTCGTGCCAACGAAGAGACCCCCCTCCTTATTCACGGCACCAAAGGCAACAATGGAACGAATGGCGACGACTTTCGTCTGCCGCACACTTCTCACAAGCGTTCGCGCCGGGACTCGAGCATTCACGACGGCCACAACCATACCTTGCCACGAAAGACTGGGTCCAAGGCGAGCGGCCACAACCACGCTGACATGGGCATGAATGCCATGATGCTTCACGTTCTTGGCGACGCTCTAGGCAACGTCGGCGTCATCATCACTGCACTTATTATATGGCTCACTGACTGGCCGGGCAAGTTGTACTGTGATCCCGCTGTGTCTCTTTTTATCACAGCCATCATCCTCAAGACGTCTATTCCCCTGACTCGAGCTACGGCAAGAGTTCTTCTCCAAGCGACTCCCGAGAACATAAGCGTCCAAGAAATCCGCCAAGACATTGAGGGTCTTCCAGGAGTAGTCAGCTGTCATCACATTCACGTTTGGCAATTGTCCGACACCAAGGTCGTCGCCAGCATGCATCTGCAAGTTGCCTTTCCAATCAACGAGCACAGTGGCGAAAAATACATGCAGTTGGCCAAGAGAGCCCGAAAGTGTCTTCATGGATACGGCATTCATAGCGCTACCATTCAGCCTGAGTTTTGTCTCGACGAGCAACACCGACACGTTGGGGATGCTGCGGCTCTGCGGATCGATGGTGGTCTGGACGGTGCTAGTGATAACGGCTGTCTTTTGGAGTGCATCGACGATTGTCAAGAGCAAGGTTGTTGCCCTGCCACCGAAACGCTCTCTCAGGCGGCCCCGTCGACTCGTCGAGGAAGCGATTCGACCCAGGGTGGCGCTCGCCATTAGCATGTCTTTTGTTAAAGTCGTCGATCGAGCGTAAAACTAACAAAAGACGAACACTTCAGACACTTCAGGGTGTCCATGTAATATTTCTCAACTTCATATACATTTATAAGCACATGACAGGAATATTGTGGCAAAAAGGAAAGAGCCAAGCTCCCTATAGACTCAGGGGCATCAGGTTCTTTCTTCTCTCTCTCTTCTTTTTAAACCCGGCAGCGAGGAAATCACAACCTTCTGCTTCAAAGCGGCCAAGATCGCCTTCATGAGCACAAATCTTGGCATACTCACGTTCTCTCATCACCGGAGTCACTATCCTTTTTTTCACCATTCATATATCTGTATGTGGGTGATTCTATTACTGTCTTTCTTTTCTTGTTGTTTGTCTTTTGTTCTCATTAAGCGGCGTTTTGGCGGGTCGAACGCAAGTAAATATTAGGGTCTGGCATGCTTCATACGGGGCGGCGTTTGATGATATTAAATCAAAGCAGCATGGACGCGACGTCTGGTCTGCTTTCTTCCAAGAAAGGGGGAAGAAGAATGACTATAAGCTGTATTGGTAGATGGCGGTGAAATCTAAAAAATTTCAGTGGAGACGATGCAGGTCGTGGTAACACAGCATTGGCATTTGACGTTCGATGGTTTTTTGTTATGTCGCGATGTTGACGTTGTGGACTTGGCTCTGTTGTTTGTACACTTGTTATCTAGAAGCATACAACTATAATATGATATAACGCAAGGTGTGTTCAACAAGCAACCGGTCTCCGTGGCTTAGTTGGTTAAAGCGTCGGTCTCATAGTGATATGATTCAGCCTCAGGTTGGAGTCATCCGAAGGTCGTGAGTTCGACTCTCACCGGGGACATCTTTTTTAGGTGGTGCCTTCTCTTGTCGGGCGGCTTTGCACGAAGTTGGTAAAGAAGCAGTGGGGCACTGGCCAATGGCACCTGGGGCGGCCGGTATGAACTCACTTGCATCTGCCTGCATGTGAGGCAAACTATTCATCGAGAAGGACATACTCCGTACATTTACGGAGTAGCTATTTTTTTTTATTTACGTGTACATCGTAGGTAGGTAGCTTGATCTGGGTACCATTACAGAACGGAATATGGAGTATGCGAAGGGTGGAAGCATCGAAAGTCATGCATCAAGCCAGCATTTTTAGAATTCAATGCAAGGCCTCGTGAAAACATCACATCGCATGCATTGAATGCTCCAGCATAGCATTTATATACTAGCTTCTGTTGCCCTGCGTGTATGGGCTGATATGTGTGTTCAGTAGGAGCAAGACTCCCTGTACACTACTCTGTGCTCCGCGCCCAGACATACCTATCGGGCAGGAGCTTAGCCCTTTTTGGAGGCAAAGTAGCTGATCAAGCTGGTGATGAGGAGTACACAAATGAACCGTCTTTTGGTGCTACTATTTCGTTTTCATGTCTTTCAGACTTGATTCGCTCAGTTACGTCCCATTGCCTCTCGTTATCACGGACGCGCGGTATAGAGGCCTGTGGGCTGCGTACATGCATTTACGGAATTAAAATCGCACCTGACATTCATAAGAAGCCGTTTCAAATGTCATTTCAATTCCAGATAGCCCAAAAATCAATGAGAAAGCAGAACGTAAAAAGACCAAAAAAGCAGACAACCAAAACCCTCCAGGCATATGGGTGATGCGATGGTCTGAAATCATACAGCCCACAAACAATACCACCGTCCAGAACCAGTTCACAGTGGCCAAGAAGGATCTTTCCATAAACGCCCAATGTGTGTGTGTGTGTGTGTGTGTGTGTGTGTGTGTGCGAGCCTTTTAATTCTTCCCTTCCCAAATACAAGGCCAGGCAATAGCAAAGAAGCACGTTCTCCACGCAAAGTTGCATCACATCGTCTCAGAAGCCGTTCTCTTTCCGTTTTGTTCCCGACTCTTTTTAAGCCCCGTGAGATAGGAATAAAGGATGGCCCAGAATCCGTCTAGAAACCACGTCCACGGCCTCGCGAGAATCCGCCAGAGCCGCCGCGACCACCACCGCGACCACCGCCGAATCCTCCACGACCACCACCACCGAATCCTCCACGCCCACCGCCTCTTGAGAAGCCGCCGCCACCACGGGGTCCGCCTCGGCCACCGCGACCACCACCAAATCCTCCGCGGCCACCACCACCTCGGGGAGCACCACGACCGCCACGGGCACCTCCGGCTCGCTTGGGCTTCTTTTCACCAGGGACCTTGGGCTTGGGAATGAACTTTTCCAATGGCAGAAGCTTGTCGCCGCCAATGTAGACTTTGTCGCCAGACTTGAAGCTCGTCGCGACGATGCCCTCCTGTGGCTTGATGGTGAAGTAGACTTCGTTGATGGGGCCTAATACTTCGTCGACCTTGCCGATGGGCGTCTTGTTCTCGAGAAAAATGGGCGCGTTGAAGTATGGGATCTTGACGTTGGAGGAGCGGCAGAACATTTCGCCTTCGACAGCGTGTTGGACGGTGCCCATTTCCTGGACTTCGGCGGGGGGACCAGCAGGGGCGAAGCTACCACCTCGACCACCTAATAAAATTCAAGGGAAAAATAGTGTCAGCGTAATGATTCCGAATGTGCGTTTCTAATGTTTCTGCTCTTTTTGAGACTCCAGCTTCGCGACAGTGCGGGATGCAGTAATGTGAAGAGCAAGAGGTTTCACCAACCTCTGAAGCCACCACCACCTCGACCTCCAAAGCCGCCGCCACCACGGCCGCCTCTGAATGACATGATGCGTGTATGATTTTTGCTGGAAGTTCCAGTGGGTGTGAGGCTGGGTCGTTGTGGTGCGATCGGTATGGGCGAGTATCTATCGTCTCGATTATTTTTTTTTGACCCGTGCAGTGAAGAATTGAAGAAAGATGGAATTTGTGTTTTTCCGCACACAGCGGATGGGAACGGTAATTGGTTAGCTGAAGACTCTTTTGGGCAATAAAGCGGATCAGCCAAACTCAGCCAAGTCAGTGGTGTTGATGACCTACCCTATCTCTTTTTAGCACTTGTCTGGAACAATACCTATGGCACGGGGTCGATGGCTGGAAATAAGGTTCAGGTTCCTTTCTTACGCCACTTAGCAGGAAATTTTCTTCCTCTTTGGTTAAAAAGTCTCCCTCACCTAGTCTAATGCGTGCCTTGGTGAGAGTGTGAATCTCAAAAAGAAATTTGTGCAACACTCATGCTGCATTGATACTGCCTCGCCATTCCACTCATTAACATTCCTAGGTACCTGCAATCAAGCGACAGTATTTGCAAGCTACCCAGAACTCGTGCATAGCCACGATGAATATAGAACAGTCCTTGCTCACGTAAAAAGGAAAATGATGGAAACAACCGCTTCCTGCGAACCGTGCCGCTTTCCGATCAAGTCGCTACCTCCGGACATTCCCCCGAAGGCCTCACGAGATGACTTGTACCCCGCAGATAACAGCGGGGCAAATCGGAGGCTTAGATGTTGGTGACAGTCGCTGACAAGTGCTGCACTACTACCACTACGACAGTACAAGTGCTGCACTACGACAGACTACAGTACGACTTGTTATGCATCACCTCGAAGCTCAACAAATGCTACTCCAGCCTCCATCACTCCACTACAAATAAGTGTTGAACAACGTTGCCCGACTGTTCTTTTGAATCTCTCATTCCTTGACACTCGCCATCTTGCGGATACCGACTCTTAGCAGACACTCCCGACACTTTCCACGACACGAAATGGCCACCAGAAGGGCCGGAAAGGCAGGTGCCTGGTATGTCGCCTCACCCGACGAGCTGGACACCGAGCTAGAGGGATACCTATCTGAAGTACCGGATTTTATTCACGGTTCCAAATTGCCTATAGACGGGGCCAGAATTGTGATTGCACCGTAAGTCTTCTGCGTATGCCATACTCGGGTTCGACCAGGAGAATATTCCCCTGATCAACCAAGAAGAAAGCCTTCCTGGATGAAGAAGAAAACTCCCCTACAAAACAAAACAAGTCGGAAAAACTCATTTCCTACAGTCACGCAGGATATTCATTCTCAGGTCCCTGCGCAGCCTGGGCGTACAAGTGCCTGGACCTCAGCCGAGCAACGCGAGTGTTCGTCCTGGGCCCCTCCCACACATACTATCTTCAAGGATGTGCCGTGACTACATATGGCAAGCATGCCACTCCATATGGCGACTTACGGGTGGACCTAGAGACGTTGCAGAAAGTCAAGGACGCAGGACGGATGAAAGACATTCCCACGTCAAATGATCGGATGGAGCACTCCTTGGAGATGCATCTCCCGTATCTGTACAAGCGCTGCGAAGAGACATTTGGTGCGCCGGACGAGTTTCCCACCATAGTTCCCATTCTCATCGGAGATCTCGACCGAGACGGAGAAAAGAGCGTGGGAAGACTCTTGGCGCCCTACTTGAGAGACAAGCAAAACGCCTTCATCATCAGCTCCGACTTTTGTCATTGGGGAGCGAACTTTCAGTACATGGTCTATTCGCCAGAGAACGACCCCACAAAGCTTATGAATTTGCGAGTATCAGATGCCCCGCCAGTGGGCCTCCCCATCCACGAAACGATTAGAGTACTGGATGAGGCAACCATGGATGCTGTCAAGAGCGGAAGTCACGATGCCTTTGTCGACAACCTAAAGCTGACAAGAAATACGGTCTGTGGTAGACATCCCATTGGTGTGGCCATGGCTGCGCTGGAGATACTTGCCCAGGAAACAAAGGATTTCACGAAAGGACGCTTCAAAATTACACAGTACCAGCGAAGCGATGATGTCCTGAAGCCTAGCGAATCCAGTGTTAGCTATGTGTCGGCTTATGCTGTTCTGTAGAGCGATATTACTCGGCCAGCTTCAAGAAGAAGCGAATATCGAACACTCCGCCACTTTCTTGCCACGCAACCTGCTATCAAGCCGGAGCAGACAATGTTAGATAAGATGGCAGAGACACGTATTCTGAATGTCAGCACCGAAGTTTCTCTTGATAAATCTCGAACAAGGATGTCTGTCATATAGCGATGTATGTGGCAACGTGACATGTGTTGCAAACCCAAAATTGTGAAGGGCCATCGGCCCAGACTACCTCCGAGATGAACATCTCGTGATGATCATGCTTGGGGAGTGACTACGATCGATGCCAACAGGTCTCCAAGTCGGAATAGCCTCGAGTCCCTCGGTCAGAAGTTCATCAAGGCAACGCCGAAACAACTGGACGCCACACCTTGCAGATGAAACATGGGCCGGTTAGCGCAAGGGGCCTAATAAAAGTACATAGGAGGTACATACGAGGTATATAGGTAGCCACTGCCAGACGTTGGAGCAGAGGTTGGTTTTTCGCTTCGCCTAGACAACGACCAACGTGGTTAGTGCGGCCGACTGTGTTGGTGCCAGGTGGTGCGTGCACGGCGGTCGCCGGCCAGGTAGGTACTTTGCAGGCACTCGTCTGCACGCTGAACAGCCACCGTAGTTAGTGCTAAAAATAGGTATTGAATAAGTACCTATCAAGCACTCCACACTCGTTGGCTGGGGAGGCCGTGAATGGCCAGGGGGTACAAGGATGCGCTGAGCCCCCTTTTGGCAACGAGCGGCCAGGCACTGACAGACCCCCTTCGATTGCCACCACGGCTACGGACTAAGCCGCGACGCACTCAGTACATTTCGTTCCTTTCATCTGAACAACTGCCACTTCATTCCGGCAATTCGATTGTGCATTGTTGCGAACTCTCCAGTCAGCAACAACATCAACTCGCGCTTTCATATCTCATCTTCTCCCGTGTCTCTTGTGGCTCGTCGTGTTCTCAGACATCAAAGTCGCTTCTGCTTCACGCTCCTATACTGCCAAGAGCCCAGGCGCTCTCCGATTTCCATCA